TACTACTACGACGACGACGACTCCGACTGCTGCTAATCTTGTACGACCACCACCACCACGGCCACCGCCACCGCCACCGCCACCGCCACCGCCACGACCACGACCACGACCAGTGCCATGACGACGACTTTCACAGTGGTTGAGAGCTGCTTCGTCATACCTTCCAGTTGCTTTATAAGACGGAAACTCCGATCTGCAAGCGTGTCGTGTGTTGCTGATACCTGCCACTGTAACGCGGACGACCATGACAATCACTGCCATCAGCACTACGAGCAGCTGCCACCACCGCCACCGCCATCACCTATCGCATCCTATTAGCACAAGAGTCAATCTAGCCACGTGGTTTTTTGCATTCACTGTCGAACCACTAGTCTTACAAGCAGGACTACGAAGAGAATACAGCCCGCGGGCGTTGCAATGGCGACTGCACCAGGAGCTTTGAGCTGCGATCCAAAACAAGGGTGGCGCCCTTTCGTATGGGTTTGGTTTTGAGGCTGCTCACAGTAGAACATGCAGGAAGCAGAATACAGGTGGAGTTGGAGATAAGCACACTCAGACACTCTAAACCGTAAACCCTCAACCTTCAATCGCCTGTATAGTTTCGAGTTCCGGGTTCCGGTTGGGGGTTTTCGACTTCAGCCTTGCGAGGTCTCTGTTTGGCTGGATTGAAATCGACTGCAGATTTCAGAACATAGGGCGCATGTAAAGGGATTCTGGGGTGTACCATACTGTAGCTATGAACTAATGATGTAGGGACTGTACGGGCACCTTATTTTCAATGCAGGGCTTCTTCGCGACACCCCTTCGACAGCTCCTGAGCTGGCTCCAAAATGCTCGGCGCGTCGAAGCACGCTTTCCATCTAGGCATCTAGGGATGCAAACCTCATCGAACGTTGACGTCGTGCTGTCGTGGCTTAGCTGTTAGGTTTGGGAATGTGCCAAGGCATGGCTATGTTATGGTCTACACGAGTTATGAAGCTGGGCTTTGACAGTTGACTTCCATCTCGCCCAACTTGCCCCCGTCTGCCCCAACGAATTTGAAACCACCCTTTCGGGGCGAGGAAGCATTTGACAAATCATCTTGCGAGAACGCACTCAACCCTCCAGCCCTGGACCCTCATGATCGGAGCCCCTTCACCCTTGGAGCCCTCAGCCCTCACCCTAGGTGTCTGGATAGCGGCGGCTTCTGTTGGAGGGCTCAGTCTTTGCGCCGTTTTTTCTTCTTCTCCTGGGCTCACAGACCCTTCCGTCAAGCAGGGCCGAGGATCGCGCTAACACTCAACCCGACATGTCCGCGCTTCTGAAAATTGAGGTGTCCTTTCGGGGGTGTCCTCTTCTCACGGTCAAAATCAGGCTCCTGTTTTGAAACCCAAATCGTAAGCCTTGAGCTCCAACCGACAAGAGTTTCTTTACCATACAGGCAGAGGGACCTAGAATGTGTCTGCACGGGACTACAATGCAAAAAGGACGAAGGAAGATGCTTCGGAACCCGCGCTGTCACAACATACTAAGCCGAACAGCCCTCATAAAGAGAATAGTCGCGGAATTCTAATAGATCCGCCCACAAGCGGCTTCAGGTCCTAAGCCGAACGTTCGAGGGTCGCAAGAAGTTGAAAAGGGGCCTATAATGTTATTGCTTTCACACACCCATGAGCCCCAGCTCCAATCCCCTGACATCAAACGCTGAAGCCCTGAAGGAAAGCATCCGAAATGCTGAAGTTTTGGTCGCAGCTCAGGGTCCTTGATTATGGATTCGATGATACGAACAACCCAAACCTCCAAGCCGTGACCCTTCTTAGGCATTGGGCCGCTGGTGCGTCGTCATCCGGCCGTGGCCAACGCACAGCCACCTTCCAGGTGCCCGCCTGGCCAAAACTTGCATGACTTGCACAGCCCGACTCCAAGGCCGATCTAGGGCGTGAAGTTCTTGCGCTCTCGGCAACGCCAAGCCTCGTGGTTGCACTCAGAAAAGCCGAGCTCCTTGGAAGGGGTGTGTCCGTGTAGTCTCTTAGGAACAGAGCACACTGTGACGGATTTATATAGGTGGTGTTTACGGCTCGAGGTTGGAGGGTTTGTGGTTCATGGCTCACGACAAACCTGATGACGTCTGATGCACCGGGACGATCTTCGTTGGCGAGCTTCCTAGATGGGGTATGGGTGTAGAATGCCCTGGCCATCACGATACTGATACACACCGCATGCTGATGGCTCTCACCCTGTCCTTCACTCGATTGACGAACTGCGGCAACGAAGCTTGCAAAACCTGCGACAGGAACGGAAAACATTTTCCAGGGCAGTCGCTTAACAACAAGTGGAGGCGGAGCACAGCACTGCATCTTTAGAGGACATGAAACGGGAGCGGATTTCAGAGCTGTTGACATGTGGCCACAAGCGCCGGGGCGCGTTTGCATCAAAATTGCATGGACAAACTACTGTATCATGGGGACCCCGCCGTGCATCAACTAGATTGGAACCGCCTTGTCCTCATGCCCTTAAGGTAAACCATAAGGGAACCAGCACTAATCATCAAATCCATGTTCCGACTTCCCGGATTCTCTCTAATTCAAAACAAGCCAACATAGGTCGCCAAAAGGCGGCCTCCAGTTGCGACAAGGCAGCGTGTATTGCATCAAGCCTATGAGCTACAGTCAAGCCACCAGGCTCTTGTTGCGCTTTTCTGTTGTTAGTTCTTCTGACTTCCGAGCTGGCTCCCAATTTCAGAGCCCTGCTGGAAGCTTGAAAACGCCGGAGTTGAAAAACAGTAGGCGGGAGGAGTGAAATTCGAACGATTCTACACCAGGTCATCAGCTGTTGCAAGCACAACAGGATGACCTGAAAAGAAGGATGCCGCATAGCCATGAGGCGATGCCATCAAGCCGAACTGGGGATTCTGGGACTGCATATGTCTGTGGAGCACTGCCACTGCCAGACATACCATCACAATTCCAATCGCCGATAGAATTGGAGAGTGCAAGAAGGCGTCCTGCTCCCGCTTGGCGGGCATGTGGACCGGGGAGGCACTTAGTGCCTCCCCGGGACTTTGTAAGCCCAATGCAGGTGTCAGCTCAAACACATCGTCCGATTTATCGAACGTTTGCTGCCCAGCAATTTGATTCCAGATTTGGTGCGTTGGCTTCATGTCCAACTGTCGTTGAACCCATTCGCGGACATGGTCATCGACGCAACTTGCGGAGGGCATCATGCACCTGCTTCGGGACGCACCGGGTTCTTCGGAATCTTCGGCTGTGTTCAAGGCAGGCGCGCTGCGCTCGAGCTCGAAGCTCAGGAGGTACATCGGTATAGACGCACAATGCCTGCACCGAAGATTTTCCACGTCACCAAATACTTGACTTTGGATGTCTTCGCACCAGTCTGGTTGGTATTCGACCACTGTGGCCGACATGTCCAGACCCTCTGTGGTTAGGCCGGCTCCCAGATTGCCTACTAAAGCCTTTTCCACGACGCCGAAGGGTCCTTCTGTAACTATGTTTTTCATAACGGTGAACGCGGAAGCAGCTGGTCGTTCCTCTGTCAGCAATGAACTCTTGTAAACATCCGTAACGACGCCTTTGGTTTTCCACATGTTCATAACATACTCGACTGTCAACCTTTCGGCAAAGTCGCCGAGGCCTGGGTCCGCTGTAATTTGACCATGACAATTCAATAAGACATGACTGTGTCTTGTGAAGTAGGGCTCCAGAAGTGACACTCTGTGTGGAGCGGCGGGATGGTCCTCGACATGCAGCATCGAGGCACACCGCACAGCCAACTGGGCGCCCAAAGAGTGGCCCACGAACCGCACTTGAGAGCCATCAAAAGTGCCCATGGCTTTTTTGACGCTCAGGGCACACATGTCTGCCACAGATAACTCGTCCAATTCTTCGTGATAATTCCGGTAATAGGCCGCACCTGATGAAAGGTTCTAGTCTAAGCCCGAAGCTTTTACGTTCCCTACGCATTACACCCTCAACCCCGCTCTGCTGAAGCGTCTTGCCGCGCTTCCATTAGACAAAAAAAGCGCGTGCATGCAAAATTGTTGTAAATAGCGTAGAAGTCGGGGTTGCGACGGCAGACAGCAGCTCGATATGTTTTTTCGAAAAATCATTCCTTTGCACTACCTTCCGGGTGAAGACCATTTTCTGTCAGGCCCCTTGTTGCTGCATGCCCCCGCAGCTGCACGCCCACGCGATCAGCTGTTGTGATTGTGCCAATAAAATCCTCATACCTGAAATGTGTAAATCGCAGGAATGCAAAGCTGCTGTGAAACTTGGCACCATGGATGTTATTCCGGCTCTGCCATGGATGCTCGGCCCCAAGGTATGCATTGGGAACACGGACGTTATTACGGCTCAAGCATGGATGCTCATGGACGTTCATGCGGCTGGACCTTCTTCCGGCTCGAGTATCGATGATCGGTCGCAAAATATGCACTGGGAACATGGACGTTGTTGCGATTTGGGCATGGACGTTATTACGGTTCTGGCATGGATGCTCGGCACCGAAGCATGCACTAGGAACATGGACGTAACTACGGTTCGGCCATAGGTGCTCGGTCCCAAAAAAGGCATGGACTACGGAAGCGCTTTCGTTGGGAAGCGCGCAGAATTTGCCGCCTAAACGGATCATCATGGGGCCAGGACAAGGTTTTCTGCATGTCCTGGTTTGCAGCGCAACGTCCTGCCTGAAGGCTACATTCTAACACCTGAACCTCAATCTCAACGATGAAAGATTGTAAGCTTTCCACCGAAATCCATCCCCGCGCTTGTCGAACCACAACTTCTGCTCCGCATCTCTGACGCATTCCTGGGCTGTTCTTGTAGACCAGTGAAAAAAGTAGAATTCTGCCTTTGTTACGAATACACTATACCAAAGCTTTCAAGACAGTGCCCTGGGTTCTTCGTCAGCGAACTGGTCCCAATAGAAAAAGCCAACATTCCAGCCTTCATCAAGCCAAGAATTTACCAAATGTTGACCGCCTCCATTGGGGCACATGTCGGAATGACATCTCGTGGTGAGGCGCTTGCATTGGCTTGTCCAACCAACACCCTCACCAGTCCAGCCGTGGAAGAACAGCATCGTGGGTTTTTTTGGATTGTACAGTTTCGATGGGCTCGCGGTGGCTTTCTCAGATGTGTCATTCTTGCCAAACCAGTAAATGCCGGTATCCAGGTGCTCCGGAAAGCCGTTGAAGCGGCCCAGGTTTTCCGGGGTGCAGAAGCCTGCCTCGACGATCAGCAGCCTCAGACCCAGGCAGGCTGCTGAAAAGAAGCTGCGATGCAATACCATGGCTGGCCGCACTCGCAATCGCACTCGTGCCGAAGGTGACAGCAAACTGGGATTGATGGTGCCGGCAAACGCACGTTGCCATGGTGAAGAATGGTGGGCTTTGTGTGGTCTGGCCCACACGAGAGAACCCTAAGCCCCGAGACCCTTGACCGACGCCACCTCTGCGAACAAGATCGGCGCGCCCTGGGAGAAGGCCGAGTTCACTCCTCACTGCTGATGGCTCTGGGGACTTAGCATCGTGAGGCAGGTTAAAGCAAGGTTCAGGCATTCCGAAGGCAGCCACGAGAGTTGCTCGTTCACTTGTAACAACAACAACAACCACCGAAAATGCTCCAGGTTTGAACCCTAACACTGTTACTAACACCTAGACCCTGAACTTGCTCTTCTGCAACAAAAGCGTCTGAAGACCCTAAGCCCTAACGGGTGAAACCTCAAAAGCCGACAAACCCTAAACCGCACTTTAGGGCTGGCACCCAAAAAAGCGGCTTTCGGGCTTCTGTTGCAGCTGAACAGGCCGTAGCTGTAAGATAGGGATGGATAGATAGATAGATAGATAGATAGATACGTAAGTAGGTAGGTAGGTAGGTA